ACAGACACATGAAAAAATGCTCAACGTCACTCCTCAGCAGGGAAATACGAATCAAAACCACACTGAGATACCACCTCACACTGGTCAGAGTGGCTAAAATTAACAACTCAGGAAACAGCAGATGTTGGCGAGGGTGTGGAAAAAGGAGAACCCTTTTGCGCTGTTGGTGGGAATGCAAAATTGTGCAGCCCCTGTGGAAAACAGTATGGAGTTTCCTCAAAAAATTGCAAACAGAACCACCATACGATCTAGCGATTCCAGTACTGGGTGTTCACCCAAAGAAAAGGAAAACGCTAATTTGAAAAGGTATATGTGCCCCTACATTTATCGCAGCATTATTTATAATAGTCAAGATATGGAAGCAGCCCAAGGGTCCACTGATGGATGAAAGAGCAAAGCAGATGTGCTACATACAAGGGAATATTATTCAGCATAAAAAAGAACGGGGCCTTGTCATTTGCAACAACATGGATGAATCTAGAGGGTATCACGCTGAGTGAAATAAGTCAGTCAGAGAAAGACAAATACCATACGATATCACGCATATGTGCCGTTTAAGAAACAAAACAAACGAGCAAAGAAAAACAGAAACTCACCGAAAACTAGGCTCTTAACTATGCAGAACAAACAGACGGTTACGGGAGGGGAGGTGGGCAGGGGGATGTGATGAGCACTGTGTAATGTGCGTAACTGTTGAGTCTGAAAAGTGCCTTACAGGTTACTTACAGGTTACTGAAACTAATATAACACAGTATGTTACTTATATTGGAATTAAAAAAAATAATAAGTAAATAATAATTTTTAAAAAACACAAAAAACTGTCACCTACCAACCTGGAGAAGCCTGCCTCTTTCTTTGGTCTCTCCCTGCCTTCGTGTTTGGGGGCCAATTTCAGATTCACCCGGGTAGCTCCTGAGAGGGTCAAGAACCAATATAGAACTATAAGCTTAATTCTGATATTCAATACTACAATTCTGCTCTGATTGTTTATATCCTTTTTTACCCCCAAATAAAAAGTACCTAAAGAAATTTAACTTCCAGGGTTAGTGTGTTTTTTTTTTTTTCTTTTTAAGCTTGGATTCTTTCATCTTATCTTGTTAAAATTACATTCATTGAATGCACTAAAATATTTTATATACAAATAAATAAATAACCATAAAGGTTTAAAAAAATCCATGTGGGTCATTAAAAATTAAAGATGCCCTATTTTGACATACTTACTGATAAGACTCATGGATGTCATTTTATAACCATGCACACTAGAACTAAAACTAATATTGTATATTAGTTTTATGGAAGGAAAGTATAAAAAGGAAAAACGGAATTAGTCACTTTATTGCACTGATTTCTTTTAATGTCCACATTCCTAACTGATTTAGTTATGATCGTGGCCAACACAAAATATTCTAGAACCTTTATGGTTAGCATCAGTTGCTACAATGTCCTGATATTACTTTATATTCAACAGATGTCATACATGGCAATTATGTAAAATTCTCCTACACGAAGTTACAGTGCTAAGAGTGGAACTCATTGGTGAGATACTCAAGATCTGGGGTCTTTGTGATGCGTGTCGGGCACATAAAGGCTGTAAAAGGCTTGGTTTCACTGAGTTCAGATTAGTTCCCTTGTCAACACTTAACTTCTGTTTGAGGTCTCGATATTCTTTGACATCCTTGTGTTTTCATTTGGTAATGTTTTACTTGTCTTCCCCCATAATTTGATCTTGGCATTTTTAAATATATTACCCATAGTTGATTTTACTGTTTTCTATAGAGAAATATTAAAGTGTGAAGAGTGGACAAGGGGACTGGAATGATCGCATGTGTAAGATAATAAACCTTCCATTGCTACCCACTGGGGATCTAAGCAGAGAAAGTCTTCTAAACTTTGCTAATTTGGGAAGTTATGGTTTTCAGTCTATCGAGACTAATGACTGTGTAGGTGACTGCATTCAGGTAGAGAATTAGAAACTAGCTGCTGCATGTTAAAAATTCTATAGCTTTCTGCAAATGTTGAGAGCTCTAGCTGATTTTATCATTTTGGTGCCAAAGCTCATGAAAGGGTTCTTTTATAGTCCTGTTACTTCCTTGGCATGTATGTATTCAAGGAAGGATATTAGTTTACAGATGAACAAAATAAAAACAAAACTGCAATCTTCTATACAGAGAAATCTTTCAAACTAGGAAAAAAATGAAAGGATAAATTAACTTATAGTATGTAGGGAGTATTTCCAAAGCAAGGGATTAAGCTCACCCACAGATGAGAACTATATCATTTATAGCATCTCACTTTGAGGAGAATGACCTAAAGTCTACCCATCGTCTTTCGGTCAAACCCTGGCACTTTCTGCAGAATAATCTTTTTGTGCATCTTGCCTTTTGATCCATGAACGTGTGTTTGTTCACCTTATTTTGTTGAAAGGCAGCACGGAAGCACCCTGAATTAGCAACAGGTTCCTGAATGTCGAAGAAAATGCCATGCGTGCTGACCATATCTCGCGAGAAAGTGCGGGCTAGGAACAGGGGCAGCAATGGCAAGGAAACATTTGCTGGTCTCTGGGGTTAGCCATTGTAACTTGAAGTGGACTCAGCTGCTGGCACAATTTGGGTTAATGTAGTCAAAATCTATAACGCCCAAAACTTGTTTTCAGTGCTACAATATAAGGCAAGAGCACAAGGTAGATACACTGTCACTTTACATTCACATACAGTCTATAAAATTAATTCACACACATTTCTAATATAAGGCACACCTTTATTCATTCAGGATATATTTACTGAGTGCTAAGCATGTGCCAAGATGATTGACAGAACTCACGGTCCCTGATGCCAAGGGACTATTAAAATCTGGCCTCCCTAGTAAATTTTCTGTCCACATTCCGCATAACTGAAGGGCGCACTGCATGTGAGTGGAGGGCCCTCTAGTCAGGAGGCATCCGAGAGATCCCACAGTATATCATCTGAGGACTCCAACCTCAGTTAACTGTCCCCAAAATATTAAAATAAAAAATTTAGATTTAGAGGGGGTCCTGGCTGGCTCAGTCGGTTAAGCATCTGACTTCAGCTCGGGTCATGGTCTCGCGGTTTGTGAGTTCGAGCCCCACATCGGGCTCTGGGCTGACAGCTCGGAGCCTGGAGCCTGCTTCAGATTCTGTGTCTCCCTCTCTCTCTGCCCCTCCCCCACTCGTGCTCTCTTTCTCTCTCAAAAACAAACATTAAAAAATTTAATTTATGGATAAAATGAAGATGATGTACGACACATTAATAAAGGTGTCCAATGGAACAAAATACTATTGTGATAGCGTAAAAATATTGTTTTTGTAAATTTTAAAGAAGAAATGACTACTTCTGTTTGGCTAATTTAAATATATTTAGGTATTTTTAATAGTTAAATATAATTTATAATAACAATGTATAATGTTTATATTAAATAACATATTTTAAGGCATTAAAAAAATTTTTTTTAACGTTTGTTTATTTTTGAGACAGAGAGAGACAGAGCATGAACGGGGGAGGGTCAGAGAGAGGAAGACACAGAATCCGAAACAGGCTCCAGGCTCCGAGCTATCAGCACAGAGCCCGAAGTGGGGCTCAAACTCACAGACCGCGAGATCATGACCTGAGCTGAAGTCGGCCGCTTAACCGACTGAGCCACCCAGGTGCCCCTTAAGGCATATTTTGATTGGGTTGGTATATTACTTCTTTGAATACATGAAAATGTAAATATTTATTTAGGTCAACGAAATAAATAATGCGCCTACTGGCCACAGAGCAGTGGCAGGAAGGAAATACTTGCCTAGAAAGAGAAAGAGAGTCATCAGCGGAAGGCATTTCACACTGAAAGCTACAACTACTGTTCTTGGAGAGAGTCCTTGCCTATTTCACACCTTCAAGATGCATGCGAGGAACAGATAAACCTACAGGTGATGTTCATTGCAGTGTTTTTTGCCACTGTGACTATCTAGCAAAAACTAGATATTCTGTATTAAATGAATATTTTTTCAAAAAGTACACAAAAATATCATCAGAGCATACAACATTACCCAACAATCTAGAAAACATGAGGATGTGTAAAACAGAATAAGAATTCCTTAGGACTACTGGTATTTCATCTACTAAATGTGTTGCTAAGTGTTGAAGCATGAAGCTGTGCATGAATTTATTAATTTATCGTATTTTAAAGTTTTTTTAAAAATTTTTTTTAATGTTTATTTATTTTTGAGACAGAGATAGAGCATGAACAGGGGAGGGGCAGAGAGAGAGGGAGACACAGAATCGGAAACAGGCTCCAGGCTCTGAGCTGTCAGCACAGAGCCCGACGTGGGGCTCAAACTCACGGACCGTGAGATCATGACCTGAGCTGAAGTCGGACGCTTAACCGACCGAGCCACCCAGGCGCCCCTAAAGTAAAGTTTTTTAAGCAAATGAGAGGGTAGCATCTGGATGGTTATTATTTACGGATTAATGAGATTAGGAAAACAGGATTCATAAAATTTTACAAATTATTGAATAATCATTACACAATTTTGATTCAAACCCAAGATTGGCACCATTTTCTCACGTGTAGACATAATGACTAATAAAAAAAAATTGCAACAGCAAAACAAAAAACCCAACACACTATAGTTCATAGTGAAATTAAGAAAAAGTAGAGTATGGGGGCGCCTGGGTGGCTCAGTGGGTTCAGCATCCCACTTCGGCTCAGGTCACGATCTCATGGTTCGGGAGCCGGTGCCCCAAACGGGGCTGGCTGCTGTCAGCGCTGAGCCCACTTGGAATCCTCTGTCCCCCTTTCTCTGTCCCTCCCCCGCTTGCGCTCTCTCAAACATAAACATCAAAGAAAGAAAAAGTACGAGTATTTTGCCGCGAGACCATCCTGATCCAGACAGAAACAAACGTCAATGACACTAAAGGAGGCTTCTACCGATTCAATGTGGATAAAGTGATCCAACAAACAGAAGAAGAACATGCTTGCCAGGAAAGGAAGACGATACTTACTGGGGAAAACCACATCACTTTAAGAATCCAAATCGTGAGAGCAAAATTCACAAGGAGGATGATGAGTAAAAGGAGAACAAATAAGTAGAGGCAGCGTTTTCTCCAGCCATAAATGCCAATTTTGTAGACACACGGGTTCTCTGGCCTCTGCACGTGGGTGCCTTCTGTGGCTGTAGTGTACTGTTCACGGACCATCTGCCATGCCGTAGGGGGAAGGTGGGAGATGG